AGGTGGGGGAGGGGTCGCTGAACTCCTGAACTCCCGAGCTCCCTCGGTCGCAGTCGATCCCCGCTGTGCCTCATGTTGTCCCCGTTTTTTGAGTGCGTTTGGAGAAGCTGGGCGTGTCTTCATGGGTGAGTGGATGGACAAGGCGGTGTCGGAGGAAGCAGCTCGCGAGCTTTCTGGACCCGTGGAACCGGGCCGCCAGTCCGGCGAACCCTCGCTGGAATAGGAGTTGAATGGAAACGCAGCTTCGTAGCTCATCTGAAACCCGCTGGCTCCGCGCAAATCTGTTTTCTACTTCGGTCACTGCTTCACAATGTCAGGGTGTTTGGAATAGGCCACGCTTTTTGGGGGGCAGGATTTACTGAGTGAAAGTTTGGCACGACTGAGGCACAGAGCATATGCAGACAAACCCATGACAGAGCTATTTTAAATCATTGAAAGTAATGCATGTGTGTTTGATTTATGTTGCTTTGTGAGAATCTGTTCACTTCATTCTACCACGCACGCCGGATATAATTCATCTTTGTTGTGGTAGTTATTCTGTTTTTGTTTTAAAGAAAGCATCATGTCAGACATTTTGTAGGGTCTTTTTCATGTGATTTAGGGATTGACGAGCTGCAGATGAAGACAAACAGGAATGTCTTAAGTTTAAGTTGGATGGTCTGTTGTCTTTTACTGTTCTAGTGTGGAGCAGGTCAGCTGAAGAGAGGGAGTGTTGCCAATTGAGCAAGAAAATGAGCTTGTTTTTGGTGGTATCTTAATGTGTATAAAATGAGATTGGAATCAAGCCATGTTCATAAAAGTCTTTTTTGCATGTTATTTTTTTTTAAGTTTTGAGCCAAGGCATGGAGGAAATCAAACATTTTAACAGGCCCATGGCTTAAACCTTGCATTGTTCAGAGCTAAGAGGCAGTTAAACTAGGTTCTCATTAAGCTCTTCAGTATCAGTGTCATATTATCCCTGGGAGAATTATAAGCCTTTTTGTGTTTCACTGCCTTAAAAGTTCTTTGAATAGGGGAGATTAAGCCCGTGTTGACTTTGTGCAGTGTGGTGCATGCTGCTGCACGAAGCAAAGTGCTGCAGGTTTTGTACCAAGGATGACATTGTTTGAAGTGGTTAGCTGTGCATGCTTTTTAAATGGAGATTGATAGATGTGAATCTGTGGGCTGCCAAGTCGGGCAAGAAAGACAGTGTAGTGTGGCCTGCAGAGTCTTCCAGTGCAGGGCTGAAGCAAGGGTGTTTATCTATTTACGCTGTACCTGGCTCTTACCTCTCATTCCGCCAGCGGATACAGGACCGGTACCTTTCTCTCGGGGCTTCAGCCGGCGCCCAGCATTGCCCAATATCACCTGGAGTGTGTTGTGTGTGTGTGTGTGCTGCCATGTAACAGTCAACACAGAGGCGGAAATCAACCTGGGGACAAGACCTGCTGTAATAAACTGGCTTGAGATCTGTCAGAAGTGTCAGCGCTCATGTGCTGCTGACGCAGAGCTGCGCTGCAGAGAGCTCGGGGCTTTAGGGCTTTTTCACTAGGTAGCCTAACCGTGTTTCTCTTTCGCGCTCCGTTGTGTACTGCTCCCCAGTATGTCAAGACCGTGCTGCTGCACCCTTGCACAGCTGAAACACACCGACATCTAGAACTCCTTTGTCGCAGAGTGGTCTTCTAGCTTTCTGCGTTTCAGTGGAGTGGTTATGAAATGTCCTTTAACCTTATGCGTGCTTGAATATCCTGTTTTGCTGCGAAATGTGTAAGACGTGGTGGCCATCTGAGTCAGAGTGGAGTTACTAAGGCAAGCACAGACAGTATTAGTAGCTTGCTGGAATCTTTTCAGATTTTTCTACTCTCTCTTCCCTCCCAACTAATTGCTTCGAAGGTCGTTATCATCATACAGCAGAATACAGCTGACTTCTGCTTGTTTTTTCTTTTCTTGGTGTGCAGCTAAGTGATGTGAATTGATCTCTTTGTCTTGGTGGCTTTAGTCATGGTAGTTCGGATTGCTGCTTTGGAGGGGAAGAGTTGCTGCCAAATTGAAATCTGTGGCTTGTGGTGGCTCAGTTCCAGTGAGAGGTATCTAGTACATGGGAAGACACCTGAAAAGGCAGGAGATCACACACTGGAGACAGTGATAAACCTGCAATTGTCTGCTAAAGTAATATTCATTTGAAATCACTTAGTGTACACAACCTTGTCAAAACACAAAGGAACTATTTAGTGCTGCTGATCCCTATTCTGAAGGCTAAGCCTTTTGATGTGGTGGCAGTGTTTTAAAGTAAGTAAACGTCACCGGTGTCTGATGCTGTTGTGCAAATTATTTGTCAAAACTTGATACAGTGAAGCAAAAGTAAAAAAATTACAAACGTTGCTTTTTCACTTCCGGTTGAAGCCGAGCAGCTTTTGGAAGTACTTAGTGCAGTTTTGTAGCCTCGGTGCGTTCTGTTTGACCACAATAAACACTTTTTTCATGATGTAGTTGGCCAAATCTCACAGTGTTAGTGTGGAAAAACAGTTCAACTCTGCATTTTAATTTTCAAAATGTGCACTTTCAGGATGGCTGACGTAGGTTACTGTAGGATTAGCGTTTAATTTGTATGAAATTTAAAAGGTTTTAGTGTTTAGATCTTTAGGCCTGATTATATTGCTTGTGCTTTGCACAGCTCAGTGCTTGTGTGGAGTGTGGTCTTCACAGGCACAGGTAATATGGGTCTTGTGTCATTGTTTTAATCAGCAGGAATTGGGCTGCACTTGGCTTCATTTTATAACTGAATAATGCTGAACTTGTCAGTAGTCGCTTAGTTTTTTTTTCATCTGATAATATTCAAACAGAAAAGGGATAGAAAATGTATTAGTCAAAGTAGAACTATTTCCTGTCTGCTTTAGGGCACAAGACTTAATAACACTTCCCCTTCCTGCCCGGTATGCAGCACTCTGTCACAGAAGCAGCAGGCTCAGGAAAAGGCACTCTGTACTTTTGCCACATTTCTACTGCACTTACAGCAGCTCGAATGGGCCGTTTCTTTTTTTCCCAGCATGATTTAGCAAGATTCCACAGTAGATTCGGTCTAATTATTAGTCAGAATTATTTTTCCGAGGTGAAAAAAAGGCCTTGCTGTGCCCCCTGGTCTTTTCGTTTCGGTGATTTGCACAGTGTAACAGTGTCAGTATTCTCAAATCAGAGTTTATTTATCCAGTGCACAACAATACAGCGTGCAGCAGTAGTTGCTGGCAATGAAATGTCTTTTCTACGAGCTCACAAGGATCCCAAAAATCACAAAATTAAGGTTACGAAAATAAGGTTACATAATAATAGATGTGATAGGAATTGAATAAAACTCAGTATGAATAGAGCTGCTATGTGTCCACGGTGTATGCGATATATACTGGGGGAGGAGGGGGAGATTTCTGAAGTCCAGGGCAGCAGTTTAAAAGAAAAGTGATCCAATGCTCATTTATTGGCACGCTTTCTTCTTTGTGGGCTAATTTTGTTTTTTTTAATTTTCCTTTTTTCCCCCCCCCGCGGCGACCGTGCGCCCGCTCTCCCAGGGTGCCGTTTATAAAAGGAACCATCCCCGTACTACTGCCGGCGCGAGCAGGCGGCTGCGTTTTTCTTGGCAGGTCATGAAAGCCTTCATCTGAGTTACTGTCCTCTTGCATCAAGAGCGGGTTTGGAGGTTTAGGGTTTTTCGATGCTCTTTTTTTTTTTGTATGTATGTAAAGGCGAACTTGTCCTTCGTCTCTCTTTCCCACGGGGTGTCGATATCCCTCTCGGCACGGGCGTGTCCGCGCAGGTCCATCGCCGGCTGCTGTGAGAGCTGCTCTTCTCGCTGCCGAGACGCCCGATACTGGTGCGTGTGTTCTTTCCAGTCGACCTCTGCAGCAGTAGGTCAAGATTTGTAAAAGGAATAAAGAATGCATCGTGTTGGTTAGCAGTTCCTCCTTTATAATGTCAATAATGCAAGACTTGAAAAAAAAAAAACACCCAATAAGAGCCGCTGCCCGGCTCTGGGGAGTGGGGTGTGTTTTTTTCTGCCCTCAGTTTGCGGTTGTGGTGCCCAGGGGTGCCAGCAGACTTCGGGCCAGTCTTGCCCGGCTGGGCGGCAGGAATGCAGTGCTCTTTGCGAGTCGGTTCCTGTAGAACGGGGACGAAGGCCGCGCTCGGAGCCCGGCCTGCAGGAGCTGCTCCTCTAGCCTGGTGCAAGAGTTCGCGCTGCCTTCGGGTGATGGCGAAGCTTTGCATGCTGGCACCTCCGTGTGAGGCGTGTGTGTGTGTGCTTGGCGTCGCTTGCGTGGGCGCGGACATGCCACTGAAGTGTCACGTGTTCAGCTTGGACTTGAGGTGAGCCCAGCTGGCCCATGACGCTGACCACACTGGTTTTGCGATGTGGGCTTCCTCTCCCCTCCTCCTCTCTTCCTCTTCCTCTGTGTCTGTGACTGAGCATAGAAAAAAAAGCATTTTCACCGCATTCTTGGATGTGACCTTGTGCAGAAGTGGAATTTGCTTAGGCTGCTGCCCTTGTTCCGATGAAGTCCCTTTTGACTCAGAAGCGGTATTTTGTTTAAATGTTCCTGTAAGGATTTAATAGTACAGGAAAGGCTCGGCGGAGGATTTGGTCATGAGGTAATGGTCCGCTGTGACAAAGTGGATTGTGCCAGAACCAAGAAAATGTGCTTTTTGTTAAAATATTTAAACATACCATAAATCAGCTCTTGCTTTACTGGGTAAACACAACTTTTCAGCCCCCTCTGTACAGCGAGCTGGACGCCAAGTGCCGTAGGAGTGCTTCTGTGACTCGCCTTTTGTGGGGGGCTTTCGAGAGTACCTAGACGCCGGTCTGGGTTTGAACCCCGCTTTTCTGGGGAGGGGGGGGGTTCTTCCTCGGCTTTCGTTTTAAGAAACTAGGTTCCGGTGTAAATGTGAATTGCATGACTTGTTGTGAAACCCTTTTCCCTCTTTCTTTCTTCCTCACGTCCCTTCCTTGCCGTCTGGACTCTCGGGCTGCGCAGGAACCCCTCCACGGCTTTCTTCCAAGCCTTCCCGTGTCACAGGCCGCGGGATTCAAAGAGCCCCTGTGGCAGGTGAGAGGCTGTGTGCAGACAGGGCTTCCGCGAGCGAGTGTGCATGGGAGGCATGGAGGCTGTCCGGGCCGCGCTCCCGCCCCGCTTGCTGTCAGTGTGCCGCGGGGCCGAGACCCGGACGGAGTTGGCCTTCGTAGGCAAGCACAGCGCAGGAGCTGGGTGACAGCAGCCGGGGTCTGCAGGAGGTCATTTCAGGACACCAGTCGTTCTGTTAACTGGGTCTCTGAGCCGCTGTGGTGTGGGTAAGCCAGTGTACTTGTCGCCAGAGAGCAGAATCGGATCTGACTGGTCCCGTTGACCTCTGCCCCCGCTCTTGGGGTTGGTTACTGTAAATCGGCGGCCTTCTGGTTTTGTTTCCATCCGTCCTGCCACCCCGGTGAGACCCAGCACAAGGCCTTGCGTTTGAAAGCAGAACGTTAATTCAGATGGCTTTCTGAAGGTTTCTGAAAGAAGAAGAAAAAAGGCACCTCAGGAAATGAAACCGGAGGCCAAGCACAGCTAGCTGTGTAGGCAGGCTGCTGCAAATAGTGAAATCCTCATTTGAGTGTAAAGGCTTTTTACACGGTGACATTTAGTCAAGAGAGGAAAGCGAGCTTCTGTTTTAATTTTACATGCAGATTTTGTGCAGCTAATTTAACACTAATGGCTTCAGTTGTTGATGTTACTAACAAATGGACTGATTTTGGTGTGCTTACTAACCCTATAAATAATAACACTCATAACACTCATAGCTGTTAATGGTTTCACTTTTCCAGCAGGGTTGTTACATGTTTTTTTCAGGTGGCATGTAATCCATTTGTAAAAGTAAGTCATACGGGCTGGTTAGAGATCACTAGTCTGTTTCAGGCATTATGGTTTGCTTAATGGGTTACAGGAAAAGCAGTTAGTCAGCAGTTGAGTCTGTTGTACAGTAATCTCTTGGCTGAAAAGTGAATTCATACATAACAAAATCCTATTTTTTTGTATTTGCACTTCATTATCCATCTAAACTGCTAAAATCTTTTGTTCTCTGTAAAAGATAAGTGCATTTGTGAAGAACTGGAAAGTACCGAGTTACTTTTGGTGCAGTTTTTTTTTTTGGGTGCAGATTCTTATTTCGTCACAGTGGGTGTGTTTCATTAAAACATTTCCAGCTTGCTAAAATGCTCTGATGGGAATGAGTTGTAACATTTCTAGAATTCATAAAGGGGAAAAAAAAGGTTGTGGAAAAAAATGGAGGTTGTGTTAAAAGGGGCATTGCAGCAATAGTTAATTATGCTGATGCTGTATATTTCCAATCCATGCATCCTGTGGTTTCACTTGCATCAGTGTGACAGTTTTGCAACATTGTATATTCTGCTTCTTGTAGTATAGTACCTGGGCCCAGTCATTAATCTGCTGTGGTTTCCTGTAAGTGTCCTACATATTGTTGAATGTTTTTGGACTATCTCAGGATTAATTCTGTTTGAAGGTGTTGCATTTGTTGTGTATAATCTCCCCACATACGTTGCTTTTTTTTTACAACTAAAGACCCTTGAGACCCTTTGCATACCTTATCAAATCATTGGGGTTGAGTGAGCGGGTAGTTACATTTTAGCAATTAATGCAAGTGCCACTTAGTTCAACTGCTCAAACTGGGGGGGTCTCTGTCTGCGCAGTCTGAGTCCTGTATGCTGCCGGTTTGTACCGTCTCTGTTCTTGTAAGTAAAAACATTCCATCTGGGCTCCATGAGCGATTTTTCACAGTGAAAACCTTCACTCTGGAGTGCAGCCTGGTGATGGGTGGCTCGAACCCAGGCTCTGCCGGCTCCGGCTATAGTCATGAGCTCTCAGCTGGGCGAGCAGCACCTCCCGCCTGCGGGCATGAGCTCTCAGCTGTCTGACTGGGGGGGCAGCTGTGCGCCTGTATCCCTCGCCGTGGTACGGGCAGGGCTGGGTCCTTCTGCCGCCAGGTGTAAAGGACAGGCAGTGTGGGCTCTGCTACCACGAGGAGAGAGTGTCTCCGGCTCCCGTCTCCAGGCAGATGAGCTAGTGGGCTACCCCAGCACACTAAATTGGGGAGAAATAATTGATTCTAAATGCTTTTCAATTACTGTGCAAACGTTCTGAGTACACAATGTACAAAAGAAGTATGTAGCATCTCAAAATGTACCCTTATTTGTTGATAGCAGCACATGTACCATAAGCAAGAACCAAATATATGCATGTTTGAATTAAATTGAATTAACAGTTGAGGCCGCAGCAAAGCTAAGAAGCCTATGAATCACTCTGGTTTGTTTCCCTGCGATTTGTTAAGGCGAAGGTTGTCCACTCCAGAGATTTTAATCAGATAATGGCTGGATCCTCCTAAGCAAAATACCGCTTGCATTAAAAAGTAATTTCTCTGTGGTCTCGAGTAACGCGACTTTGGCAGCAGTCCGCGCCCCCGTTTCCGAATTCAGAGCGAGGATTTTGTTTTTTGGACCCGGCGATGCTGTGGCTCTTCCGACGTCTTTAAACCCAGCGAGTTGTGCTGAAATGTTTTAGTCGCGGTTGGAAGTGAGAGCTAGATATTACAATTTTGAGGCTGCCTGTGCCTCTCTGTCATCACTGCACGACAGGTTCAGCTCGCGACCCCGAGGCGACTTCATTCACCACTGGAGTTCTCAGTCGTGTTCAGCAGTGGCCCAGGGCGAGGCATGTCAGGTATTCCGCTTGTTGATACGTCTTTGTGTTGAAATGCTCTTCTTTTTCTTTTTCTGTAGCCCCGTTTTGTTTTTCCCCCTCAAGGGGTTACCTGCTCATGGTTGTCTGCCCTGCTGTGGTGGGAGAGAGAGAGACGCCCGTCTTGCAGAGGCTTCCCCTGGCATGAATGTGGCAGTGATGGGAGTGAATGCCGTTCGGTGGCATCTGTCCCCGAGGTCACACGTGAGCCAGCGGAGGTAGCTGTAGGGCTTCTTGAGGCTCCCCCTGAGCAGGCTGCAGAATGACAATGCGCTGTGGCGTGCCGGATATGAAGATGACGATAATGTGAGCGATGGGAGCTGTCATTCGTGTGACAGCTCCTGTTGGATCTCTGTCCAGCTGCCAGACCCCCTGGGGCGCTTCCAAAGCAAATGTTTAATTGGAGCTGTCCTAGCCTGCTGCGCAGAGCTCGGGACCTGGCTCTGGCATGTACACCGCTTCGGGGTCTGCACCTTAACGAGCTCCCACTTGTCTTGGGTGGCGAGTAGATCTGTCGCCCCGAAATATCTGGAGGTGGGGAGGACAAACCGTGCCGTGGCATATGTGCGCTCTTCGTCGCCCTTGCCTTCTGGGCGCCAGTAGTATTGCCCGCTCTGTGCGGTTATTAAAGATTAAAAAATGAAGTGAAATCGCTGAAGAAATGGACAGATACAACATTTTATTTAAATAGTGCCAAGGTCCAGTTGAAAAAAAAACGTTTTCCACTGCATGTTTTTTTACCCCATAGGAATTAAGCTTGTTGTCTGTTGTACACAAGGCAGGGTACGTGTTGTTCCCTTGAGTTTGCAGTCTCATTCTTTTACCTTCAGCTTCATTACAGCAAACCAGGGAGAATATTACCGAGCGTTTCCTGACTTCATGATTGTAGTTTAGTGTCCATCCTTTCCAGTATTTCCAGGAGAAACTCTTGCGTTGGCATCTGAATGAGGACCATTGTTAGCAGGCATCTGTAGCCAAAAAGAGAACATGTTGCTATTAAAAACACAAGTCAGGTATTTCTGGATGTGCAGTAGCGGGCTGTTTACTAGAAAGGTTTTCAGAATGAAAGGAGGTTGTCTTGTGATCTTATTTGCATAGTGCAGTAGAAGTTTAAACTGGCACTGCTCCCCAGTGTGCTGTCAGTTTGCAGAGATATGGACATGGTAAGAAGCACAGAACACAGGAGTGATTGACCCAGCCCCTATATTGACTTGGTGTTCTTTCTTGGCCACATCCTTGTCCACTAGGGGGAGCCATTATATTCTCGTCCATTAATAAAACATTGTCTAAAGTTTTATTTTCTTTGGGTATTAGTCAGTTTTTGGACTTTGTGGCCTCATTATCTTAGTATGAATACTTGGCGGTTGGTGAGTAAGAACTGCAATATTACACGTTTCCTTTGGAATGGAATATTTTTTTTTTACCCTTCTGACTTTTATGTTTGAGGGGTAATCTGTTAGGTCAAATTTCTGCTGTAACTACCCAGAGGCACAAGGTAAATGTACCTTTTTTTAAAATGTCGTTAGTACTAATGAGCTACTTAGCTATAGGCTCCTGCAGCATTCGCATACTGCCTTGTGTTCTGTGCAGTACAGTATGTATATATTCAATTTCTTTACTGTTTTGGTAGTGTAAAGAAATGAAAACAAGTCCTTTATAGACTAAAGATAAATCGTAATTAGAAACTTCTAGTCAAGAAGGGCAGCAGAAATGTTATTTTAGGGGAGCTAAATTATCTTTGTAACTCGGGACGTCTGTAGCAAATCAATTTGAGGTGAGCGACTGGGTTATGCAACATTGCTAGAAAATAATTGGATCCATTAGTTACAGAGCTGCCTATTTACAAGGAACAACAACAAATGCTGCTCACTTTCCTGCTGTTTTACTGCTGGAAATAATGTTGATAGAGTTACAGTCCTGGCACTTTTAAAATCTTTGCACTTTTTTGAGCAGCACAGAAATATTAACCCTTGATTGTGAGTTTCTGAGACGAACTACAGAGCATGGTTGGGAAGTTCGCCTAAACTGCAGTCGCTATGAGGGCGCTGATAATGTCTCTAAACACTGAGCCATGTTACATGTACTCATTTTAGTTTTTATCTATTAGTGCACGTTGGTCAATGTTCCGAGTCAATGAGAAGCAATTTTGGGATAAAACGGATACCTCTTTCCCCAGTCGTCGTGTTGCTGTGACCCCAAATGGGTGCTGTACCTCTAAAAGAGGAAAACGGGCCTTGCTCACTGGGAAGCCGATGGATTGGCGAGGTGAGATGGCACTGGTCTCCTTACGTGGGTCAGGGAGGTGAACGTGTGCTTTT